GGCTTAAAAGATGGCTTAAGTAAAATTAGCCCATTTTATGGGGAACTATATTTGCATGTTAGTTACCACAGCATTCGGTATTAAGGTCTGTGAAGTACAAGTCAAAAGGTTTCGTCAAAACAGAGAAATATTCACACAAAGCTTCTACCAAACTGTTTTGATGGAGGCAAATAAATGAGCATCTTCTGAAGAAGAGCCCTCCACCATGCCGAACTGTCTAAGCGGCAGGGTAGCAGGGTGATGAATAACATGGTGACACAGCAACAGACCTTGATGGTGCAGCTCGAGGAGAAAGATGCTGGAGCGTGATACCTGCATCTACCCAGGATTCCGGGAAGCTGGGTACGGTGAAGGACAAGCAGAAGAGATACTGAACTACACAAAGTGTTCACAAGCAATCATACTCATACAACCAAAGTGAGAAATTAGGAGATAAGAAGTGAAACACAACAAACATACAAAGAATATCTATTGTGCGACACTCACTGCATAAAGCACATAAAAATCACCGCTTGGTACGGACCCCTGTTTTGAAGTCACTGCTCCGTATGTTTTTGGTACAGTGGTGGTAAAATAAGCAAAACATAGAATGCTTATGTTTTTCTTTACTAAACATAGGTTTTGTGAACAAAGTATGACTGTCTTCCTTAAAAAGTCTCTGTCAATACTGCTGCAACCTACTAATAAAAAACTAACATTACTTAAAAGTAAATCAAAATAAAAATTCTCTCAAGTAAATAAAAATCAAATAAATATCCATTAAGGTCCACATTCAGAAAATTATGTAACTGTACCTGATCTGTACTGTATTCACATTAGTAGCATTCCAGCTTCATGTTAGAAGTGTGCAACACAAATATTTTCTTAGAAAATACAAAGCAGAACAAAAATATCTATTATGATGCAGCATTTAAAAAAAAATACTTGTGCTGTACTTGCATGGTTTCATCCGCCGCTTTCCGAATGTCACTCAGGGGAAACATACAACGGTTCGGCATTTGTTGCATTCGTTCAGTACATTTGCGCACCGAACCGAAAGACCTGTGTGCCGTTACACTCATAGTATAAAGGTCTGCTGTCCAGCCCACGTGGAAAAAAGATTCTAAATGAACTGCTTCTAAAAACTGGTAAAGTATAACATGCAGTCATGTCTCAGCGATTTATTTCTGGTAGAAAGAAAACAAGGGATTTAGGCGAATGTCCATCACAATGCCTGCTTTTCACAGCTCAAACATGACAGCGCGATACAAGGCATAAATAGGTATTATCTGGCATGTACTGGAGCCTTCTGGATAGATAAGCAAACTGGAGGAATACACAGAGCAGACGAAAGCATCCCACTGACTCAAAATCCTCTCCAGGTGGAAAACCAGGGAGAGCAGGGGACACGAGTCGCTCATTCTGGCTACGGCTCCGTTACATATTTCAGCCACTCCAGAATACTCTCAAATGCAGATACAGGAGAAGAGTTTTTGCTCATGCTTACTACTACCCTAAAAGACATGCCAACAGTAGGCTCACTCAATACAGAAGTTGTTAACAGGCAGGGGAAACCCTGGACCAAATGAAAAAATAAAGTCTCAAATCTGGATAAGCGCAAAAGAATTAAAATGGCCACCGGGGGCAGTATTCCAAATTCTACACACAGCTGCTGGATGAGCATGAATATTCTTTTTTCGTCAAAACAAACACACACACACAAACACATCATTAATTTACTGATCATGAACAGTAAAGTGATCAGCATGTCAGTTATTTAATATACTGTTTGCCATGCGTTTGCTAGCAATCTAGCCCAAACAATATTTCCTAAAATAATTAGAACAGTTGTATTTTTGTTCCTGGTATATGGGTCACCGTGTGCAGCTGGTACTTCTTCAGTATTCAGAACAATTATTTTACCGTTTTCACTTACAGCGGTGACTTCGTTCCATTAGTATCAGAGCTGATAAGCTTTTACGAAGACTATTAGCCAGCTTCCTGTCACTACACTTCAGAGGAAGGTGTGTGGCATCCACAAAGCCGGGGGAGTGTTCAGTCATGAAAAACACTTGGCTTTCTGGCTTCACTTCTATGAAATGTATCAAAAGCACGCTGAGATCTGGCACTTAGCGTGTAGCTGGTCCATGGCCCAGCGGGGAGGACAAGTGCCGCGCACCTGCATGCTGAGGGTTCGAATCTGGACACCCCCTGCATGGTTGCATGGTCTTCCTGTGTTGCCCGCGTTTCCTCTCACAGTCCAAGTGTATGAAATTGGCCTAAATGACACCCCTAGATCATCCACAGTGCACGTCTGCCCAGAGACAGCCTGGTGTCCCATCCAAGGTGTCCCCTGCTTTAGGTGCTATGTTCCCTGGGATAGGCTGCAGGCTACCGGCCAGCGAGACCTGGACACGGGGGGGGGGTGCATGGATGGGATGGAGTCAGGTCTCTTCAGGGGAATATTTAAGCACACAATTTAAAAGAATGAGAAACTAATCTGCACGTATCAAAAGACTAATGTTAAACTTCTACCTTTGTTAGACAAAAATATGATTTCACAAAGAACAACTATGTTGCAGTATTCATGACAGTAGATTATAAAAACATTATTAACATTTGTTTGAAATACAATAAGAAGCTCATCAATCGGTCACAAGCAGAAAAGCAATAAATTTAGGAAATACTGCAGGGGTCATACAAGGCTTAGAAAGGTTACAGGGAAATGCATTTCATCACTAAATATGTCCGTCCGTCCATCCATCCATGCATCCAATAATGGCCCATAGGATACCAAAGGCTTGCAAAACAACAATCAAAACGTACAACTACTGCAATTTTGTTTACTTTCCAGTGTAGTTTTTCTTTTTACTCGTCTTAATCGCCATTTTTGTACAAGCCTTTTCATTTAGTGCTTGCTAGGAGACTTAAAGGTGAAAGTGTTCATCTCCTCTGTGGCGTTAATTCCTGCCTTCACAGGCGTTACTGACATCCTGAATAGGTGCAGCGCTCCAGTTCTGAGATGAATAAAAACATGACCAGGGAAACTGAAGAAAATAAGAACTTTAACAGCTAGTCATGTTCGCAATTTATGATATGACCAATTTTCAACCAGTCCAATGAGACTGGAAACTATAAGCATTTCCAATTAATTTCCAAATATGTCACTTTTCCTAAGTGATAGCAGCTCATTTGCATTTAAATATTATGGTTTTATAGTTTAGGTATGATTTGATTGTTCCATATTTCATAGATATTGTGGTTCTCCACATTAAGACATCCATTTTAAGTATCGTCAGCTGTATTTATAATAGTAAAGACCCTCAATATGAACTTACTTTCATTTCATCCTGATGTGAATTTTAATTAATGGCAGTAATTACTCATATGATGAATTAAATTAGGAACTGTCAAAGTGAAATCAATTAGGCCGCTAAGTGTTATACTAAACCCCATTGTGGTGAACATCAAACACTTCACACATTCCACATGACAGAAATATAGCATATTTACCTTTAAAGCATGGCACTGTTAGACCTGTCATAAAACCATAATAAAAGTGATGCCTACAGTACACAAACTGCTAGAGCTCATTAAATAATATACAGCTCATTGTCCACAACAGCAAGAACAGCACAGTGGTATCTGGCAATTTTCCTTTAATTATTTCCTTACCGAACCACAAAACTCATCTTAATCAAATTATATTAATCCGACACACAACTACATTTCCCAGCATGATAACGTTTTGTTTTTAAAATGTTAGCTCCAATAAACCATAATTTGATCTTTGCATATTTCACAGCAGAGACCGTGAAAAGTAGAAGTGGGCTTTTCGAGTTCTAGTGCGGCGCGCTGTTTTCATCGCGGGTTGCACAGGTGCACAGCAAATAATGAATCACCAGACATGTAGGTTAACACCCAGAGACTGCTGAAACCGTTCCAGAGGGAGCTCACCCAGCTGGCTCAGTATAAGCCGCCGAAAAACCAGAAGACCCATCGCCGAGCAGGGGACCGACCCACATAGGGTCTCCGCTAAGCAGCCCAGACTGCAGGTTCATACAGAGTGCTGCTGATCTGCTGTCACTCAGTGGAGTCAATCAGGACGCCTCAATGGGCTGAACATACCAATCAGAAATAACTCATTTTTAACAGAGACCAAAAACATAACGCCTGTCATCTGGCCGTCATGCAAGGCTCCGAAAACCTTCCACAACTCCCAGTACCGCTCCACCATGTATGGGTTACAGTCTTCCGAAACACACACGGCTGATCAATAGTAACACGTATTTGTTACAGTGCCATAAAAGTGCACCATTATCCCAGGCATATCGGCAGCAAAGGTGGCCGATGTTATAAGGGGATGCCCCACACAACTGCGGCTTTTTAATCTCACCCTGAGAGAAGAGCTTTCCAGCACCGTCGCCCTAATTAGGATGTGACCGATGAGACATGACTCCGCCGGGCAGCAGCCAGCCTCCTCGCCGCCCAGGGAGGCTGCGCAAACTCGTAAACACGAGTATCCCTGGCCCCCCTTCCCCCTGAATGCCATGTCTGACAATATAAACCGTTTTTAAATAAGGGCTCCCGCACGCAGAAAGCGGCCACCTCTGCGCCGCTCATCCCTGTCAGCCCCGACACAAAAATAGCAGCCAGCCAGGCGGAAAAATCGCGGCCACTCCGCCAGCTAGTCCCGGCTACCGCAGCTAGCAATCCGGACAGCAGCGCCGCACATGAGCGTCGAAGAGGAGCCGAAGGCGGCCGCCCCTGCGGTCATGATCGGTCGCCGCTCCCATGCACGGCGCTTGCCGCAGGCGGCGGCGTCAATAAGCGGGGGGGACCGGCGGCGATCGTCACTGTTTACATCCCAGCCGAGGAAGCACCGCTAATGCGTCCGTCTGTCATCGTGCAAACGGCGCCTGCTGCAATTTGCATGCATAGCTACGGCTGCATATGGAGTCGTATGTGGAGCAGCGGGCGGGCGGACTGACGGACTGACGGCGCGGCACGGCGGCCCTTACCCGCGCCGCCCGGGTGATGCTCAGGTCCTTCATCACTTCCTCGAAGGCCGCCGTCTCCTCGGCCTGCTTCTGGTTATGCAAAGCGATCTTCTCGCTGAATTTCCGCGGATTGTTTGAGGTCGCCATCTTCCGCTGCTCTCCTCCTCCTTTTTTCCCTCTTTCCCTTGGCAGGATGTGGCGTGCCGACGTCGTTGCGATAGGGCTTCGTCACTTGCTACGCACACTGGGATCGCTTCGGAAAAAGCGTGGACCTGCTTGTTATGTTGGAGCCCAAGTAAAAAAGCGCAGAAATAAAGCGGCTAGTGCAACCAGGAGCTTTATGCATGCTGCGATGTTGTTTATTTTAAACGCAATAGACGATCCCTGCATAATATGCTATGGTTATCGGTGAGCTACGGTGCAAAACAATGGCAAGAGCTGTCCAAGGCAGGTACTGTAGTACAGTACTGTTGTGACTTGTCAAATCTTGCACATTTGAGCACTTTTAACCATTGGACTTCCCTGCTGTGTAATACAATGACTGAGCAATGTAGTGAATATTATTCACCCCTTCACCATCAAAAAGCATAAAACTGAAGAGTATGCGTACGTCTGAAAAGTCACAAAACCTTGAGTCTGGTTACATCTAGGTTTTTTTTACGTTAACCCATCTATCTTCCAATCGTACTTTAGAGTGGTATGTGGTTTTATTGTAATTTTCTTTCGAATTTTATACAAAAATTAATTTTAATTGACATGTTAAACGAATTCTTATCAAGATATATATTTTACTACACGTGACATAAATCACTTGCCCCTTTATGTTCCTTACGAAGGCAGAGAGAGGTATCACTTAAACTTAAATGGGAAATTGTATATAATTCATCATGGGTTGCGCGGTTTGTTGGAAGGGTGGATTTTATCGAAAATAAATGCCATTAACATCTTTTGTCTAAACTCGAACTTTAAATATTAGTGACATTTTACAGTTATGTAGCCCGTTTTCGGTGACACCACATGACGGCTCCCCTTTATCGCCAGGCCTATATTAACAACATCGCCATACGTCTGCGACCCGCAAATTGGCTTAAGTTTATTCCTATGAAAGGCGTCATCTATCTACTGCATATTCAATACATGTTCCTCCAAAGTAAAAAGAAGCAATATATCATTTAGCCTTGACAGCCGTGAGCTAAAGCATTTAAAATATGACAAAACACATGATTTCATTCGCGTAATGCTCTGCTCACAAAAAGACTTGTCTGCAGAGTAACCACGGTAACCATTTAAGCATAAGACATTAATGCGATGCACCAGCGTATCTACAGAAAAATATCACACATGGACTCGCTTTAAGATGGAGAAAACTAAGCTACGTGTCTTGTGGCTAGGAGATATGCAACAACATTCAAATTTGTAACATAGCAAATTAGGCGTAAACCATTATAGTTAAGTTTGAAAATAGACGAGATGGTCCTGCTGTCATCTTGTCAAAGGAACATTTTTTCTCTCTTACAGCTTGATGCAGGCTCTCCTTTGGATGTGCTAATTTTAGCATCAATGGTCAGTTAAGTCAATCATACATGCAGTCATAATAAATGCTGTACATTTAATATGCGTAGATGTTCGTTAAGGAGTTCACCCGCAGTGTACATACAGTATGGCCTCCTTCTTGGGAAAAGCCTCACGTTAGAAATGCTTTGTCCTTTTTTTCTGAAACAAAAGTTACACAAGGGAACCGAGTGGAGAAAAACCAAGTGATGTTTAATGGAAAACTAGTCCAGATTTTTGTTCTCCATGTAGGGTAATCCCCATTTCATGCCATAATTGACATCCCTGAAGAACAACAACCAAGCTCACAACTGACACACCTCTGAGCCCTCATTACTCAAGGAAGCACTACAAAAGGTTACTGGCCAGTCCAGGAAATGGATCAATCAAACAGCTCGGATGTGATGGTTGCCAGGGTATCAGCCTGTATCATTTTGGAAAAATGAAAAGAGCCCTTATTGTTAGGAATGAAGACTCACACGTTTGAAGTCAGAGGTTTTGATATCTAAAGCACATCGCCTGCATACAGCATGGTCATACACTACTGAGCCACCCGGATCCTGAAGCACAAATACATACATTTTATGATGTCATCATCAGGTGCCTTATCACATTTAAAGTTTACCTAAAGTGGTATGAGCATTCCCACGTATTGATAATGACTTTCAATCTGATGGCTGCACAGTGAGAAATAAAATACAAACCATTTTGGATCTGCCAACCTCACAAACCAAATCTACTTTTTTTAAAAAACAAAAAAACAAAAGAACGGAGGGAGGAAGCCGGTGTAACATTAAACATGCTCAGATTCTGAAACCATTAAGTCGCCTATTCATTTTCTTGTATAAACTATCATTGTAATGCAAATTATGAAACACTTTTATCAGTGCTTGTGTTTTCCATTTTTATTACATTTATTGATATAATTCACATATTTTGTGAGCAATATTTCCGTGCATTTCATTAAAAAAAACAATGAAACATGAATCAGTTTGAATGACAAGTAGGAATTTTTTGCCAAAACCAGACAAGCAATCCTAAATTAAATCTGACATCATTCTGAAATAAACAGCCCATTCTAGCTCACTCAGTCTGCAGGTTTTACAGTCCACAAGTTATTTTAACTGCAAACTGCAAAGGAAGCATAATTAACCAATTCAAAAGACAAAAGGATAAGAAAGAACACAAGGTTTTGGTTAATGGTTAAGACATTCTTTCTGTTTTGAGGCATCTTAGTAAACAAAAACACTTATCTAGTTATTGGAGACTGGAAAACGAAGCATGCAAATAGCACAACGTATTTACTAATACTATTTGTGTGAGAGAGAAATAATTCAGAGAGCATTTCTAAAGAGGACTGAAATAGGGAAAGTATAATTCATAATTTTGTTGCATACTCTGTGTATAATGTTTTTGTTGCTCTTTAGAATGTGCTCCGACAGCTTACAACTGCCTGTATTCTTACCAACATTATTAAGACAGTGTGTTGGTAACAAATCCAGCACAAGATTTCCTTCATTTTTGCAAACGATTCACAGCGCACATTAATAAATCTCTTCAGAAAAGAAATTGTCATTATTAAAAAAAGAAATCTCACATGATCCATTTTGGATTTAATTAAAACCACACAACAAAGCAAATAGTTGTTGCTGTTGTTGCACATGATGCGAGAAAATAATGCTAAGAAAAGATACATTCAGTATTTTATCACAGTTACATCTTGTGATAGTTTTTTTTTTTTTTAGAGAAATGACAGAGGAAGGAAAGTGCACATGTATAGTTCCTGCGATGCTGGAGGTAGAGATCCGGAAGAGGAGGCTGTGGTCTGCCTGACAGTGTGAAGAGAAAGTGCAGAGCGGAAAAAACACAGAAATACGAGTCATTCAAGGAGTAAGGGCACTGCAGCGAAAAAACACTGATAAAATCAGACAGCAGATCAGTCTGTACGCCCAGCAAATGCGGGAGTCGCTGTAAGAGAATGTCTTTAAATATTTAAAGCAGATGTTTTTTTTCCTCTTTATAATAGAGGGACAGTAATGATCCCTCCCCGTTTTTGGAGTCCTAACACTGAAATCACAAATGCTACAGCTCCCACCTGGACAGAGGATAGTCCAGCAAGGGAAGGAAAATACAGGATCATGCTGCTTGGAAGCACTGAATTTGGGGTAGATCCAAAAACTGTGAAGTTAGGACTGCAAATGGAGGGCTCATGACCTATTACACTATAGGACTGCAAATGGAGGGCTCATGACCTATTACACTATAGGACTGCAAATGGAGGGCTCATGACCTATTACACTATAGGACTGCAAATGGAGGGCTCATGACCTATTACACTAT